ACGATTCGAAATGTGAATCCAAATGATATTGCGGATACATCAGCATACGGTCGGCAGTGATCAGGCACTTGATTCTGACATACCTCTCTCACGTCGTACCTGCTATGACGTGTCGCTGAGATAATCTCTCGCCCTGATTCTGGTAGAAAACTCACATGTCAATGCTAACCTCTTTTGGCAAGGAAATCACTGTACTCTGCTGACAAGCAGTATATGCTCGATCGCAGTCACGCTTAGCTGAAAACGATGACTGGGTGGACAGCATATGCAGAGGGGCTCGCCTTGTCCTTGGTTGCAAAGTGTTGCAAAGTTGATGCATTGCAGAGCTTCTAGGTTCATCTTCTCGTACCTGAACGCATAGTTGCTGAAATATAGGTCTCAAATGTGCCTGACTGAGTCACTCACTGTGGCTTTGTGATCCTCCGAGGTGCCGGGGGATTGTCATAGGCCATCTTACCTTGTTTTGAGTACCTAAGTACCAAGCATTCCCTGCTTGTTGCGAACTGCGACGGACATACTGAAGTCTCATAGATAGTAGAGCATTGACGAGCGCTACTCCTTTGAAATCTATCTGCTTACGCCTACTCTTCCCTGCATTATATTCGTAGATGAGTTTGGCGACTTCTGGGATCACCGGACCTGTTCAGAAAGCTATGTTGTAATACCCAGTAGCCGTTTATCAGGACTCACCCGCTTCGGAGGAGCCGAACAGGTGAACTCGATGATTGTACTGTGGGAACTTCTTGAGGAAGGCAACGGTGAAGTTCCGCCTGTGAGAGACAGTATTGCATGCCAGATAGTGATGATGGTCAACCGACATGTATTCGGCACGAATCGTTTGGTCTGTGACGATCTTGCCAGTACTGAAGCCGACTCCAGCAGGTTCGTCGATCCATAACACGTTGAAGGCCTGGTTCCAGTTCAGCCTGATGAGAACGAGCGTATTGAAACACCGAAAAATACCGGGTGCAGTTTCGTACCCATTCGGGACCGTTGTGCCTGAGCTCGTGTTCAAACTACACGGCCCGTTAGTGGTGAGGAAAGAGGGCAAGCCACTGAGGCCCGCCTCCCCTTGCATCCATATGACTGTGGGGTCGCTCTCCGGGAAGAAATAGGACTTTATAAAGATGTAGAAATACCTGATCGTACAATGAATCAATGACACAGAGCGTGATCATCGAGCGAGGCTCCTACTTCACGTCTTTGTCGACCTCAATGTATCCATGTTCTTGGAAAAATTCACTGACACACAGTGGCGAGTCTGAAGCGTCCACTTGCAGATTTCGAGCCTCCGGACGCAGCGAATCTGACAACGAGTTATCAGGGGGAAGCCAACTCGAATGATCATCACTTACCGGAGTGTTCAGTGGCTGCCGCCACTTCCCAGAGGTGGAAGAGAAAAGCAGTCCACATCACGTTGTTGTGCCATCTCATTGTAGGCCGGTGTGATGCTTACAATGTGAACGATGGTCAACTGAGAAGCAGAGTCAGTCTTCTCCGTAGTCTACTACAGCTGACTGGCAGTATTTTCCTGCGGTGTCACCGTTCGTTTATGCGTGCAATATCAGGATTTGTGTATGCGTACGATTTCAAGCGATAGCAGCACAACTAGGGGTCGGTTTCTTGCGGAGACTTGAATCGCCAGAACTGTCTCATGGCTCGTCCCGGGTGCTCCCGTCTGATTCGAATAGTGGGGGCCCATTCACGGCCCACAGAAAAGTAACTAGGCTGCGCGATTTGGGTATATACAGGTAGACAGCGACCGGACTGAACTTCATGTAGCACCATAACATGCCAATTTGGCATTTCCAAACCATGTATACACTTTTTTGAGTATTACTTCGTTGGTACTTCTATTGGTTTTCGACACCGGCCAGCAGGAGAATTCGTCGGCATCATCCAAATTACAGTACTCTCTCAGTTCGAGTCGTGGTCTTTGTCCCAGTGAGACTGTATTTCTTTGGTGTGTGGCCCACACAGTGTGGGGTCCGATGACTGTGATTGTGGCCAGCTTTGTGATGGCAAACTTCGACATGTGTACTTAGGTTTCCTGAGTTAGGAACGTGCGTAAGCTCAGTTTTGTGACTGAGTTGGGCTTTATATTAGCTACCAAAGCTCCTTATATGCCATGGAGGCATCTGTGCGGCGCAGTGTGTGCGGAGGTGAGGCCCCTTGAACAAGCACGCCAAAATATCTTCACGCAGGTGCCACCGACCTACAGTGTTAGGGATGAAAAATAAACTGCTGTTTCAAATATGCCATAAGAACTGGTTGAGTATACGTGATACATAGAGCTCTGGCGGCTTGATCCTAACGACTAGTTGTAACTGAAGTTCTGTAACCTCAGATTGGCTCCGCAAAGCTCGGATTCACGTTGTGATGCCTGTCCGTGGTGCGCGCGCAAGTGGCTCAAGAGTAGTTCCCCAGAGAATGTAAGGTTGGTTCGATGAATTGAAGTTTGGTATCTTGGCCTTTGAGTGCTGTAGATGTGCGTAGTCATGATGCGCTCTGTATTGAGTTCGACCTCACACTCTGAAGTGAAAAACCTCACAATTTCGTCTCGAACTTGTGTGTCAAATCGCACAACGTGCGCCCCACATACTCATAGCACGGTGGTATGCTCATCGAGAGCATAATACTCTCTTTAAGGTATCGGAGATGGCCTGAACTCAACTGATGGCCTCATTGCTGTAAACATGTTTCGTGCATACTATCGTTAAATCACTAGTAACTCGATCTTCGTTGGACAAGTGAGAATTCGTCAGCCAGAGAGCACCGAGTCGACTATCTGCAGTTGATGGAAGGCCCCTGTATTGGGAGAAGCATCCACCGGTTTTGGAAAGTGTTGCCGCAGAACTTCGCGGGTAAGATTTCCGGGTCAGTGACATTGTACGAATCGTATCGTAGACTTACTGTACGATACGATCCGTACAATGCCACTGACCATCGTACTACAATCGTACTGTAATACAGTACGATGCTATCTACCCAGTCCTCCTAAGTTCGGGTTTTGACTATGATTATGAGATAACAGACGTACTGTAGTAATATCTATTCGATATGATAGAGTGGTGAGAGCAAATCAGCCAGCGAGCAAAGTTGGCATCTGATACCGATGTCATGTGAATTAATAAATTCGACCGCAAAGAGTAATGGCTACATTGCGAGGCTCCCAATGGGAGGCCCGCAAATACATATCTTGATCGATTGTATGTTGTGCAGAAACCACCTGCATTGTCAGCGTATTGTAGAGATCCGAAGGTCGGTTGGTAATCCGATCAATCGAAGTCCAACTAGTGGTGTAGCTCAACATCCCAAGGTGTTTAGTGCGATACCGAGTTGCTTCCAAGACGGGCTCACGATAGCGACAGATAGATAGGTGAGTAAGCCGATTCATCTGGCCTCGTGCATGAGAGACCAATCTCAGCACAGAGATCTCTCCAAGAGCTGAGAGCGAAACACCTCCGGTGAATTCCTCTGTATCAACCGTGCAGCATAATACTGGAGTTTTTCCAATCCGGTGTTCGAGGGCTCAATTCTCTCTTGTGTTCAAGAAACACAAGGTCATTGTGTCTCTAGGGTAAAGAATCCCCGTGACGAGAAAAGCAATGGCCAATAGAACACAAGATGGGAAGACCCTTCACAGGAGAGGAACTTGATCAGAACTTCAAGCAGCGAGCAATGTAGCACGCAGACACACACATAATCACAGCTTCCGTGAGAAAAGCCTGTCGAACCCCACTCATTGTTGTATTCTAGAGCACAACAGTGGGCGATTACCATTGGAAGGAACATTCACATGCCACATATTGTCAATTATTTCACTGTGGTACGCAGTCCGTGACGCCCGACCTGCGCTGACTTCTTGACTTTGAACCCCGCTTGCCAACTTCATTTCTGCGACTCTCAAGACTCTTGGCCTCGAGCGTACAGAATCTCTCCCTGACTCTCTCGCCAATATCGAGACCGAAGGCGTTGCTGGTGTCTTGCAGTCGGGCCATGTCAGCTATCAGCCGAGTGATCTCAGTATCCTGGTCAGCTTTCATAACCTACACACAACGGAAAGGTAAATAACAAGTTGCTATTGCACTGTGCGGCGTGACCACATTCGAAAAAATAGATGAATGTGGCACGCTTGGAAGTGATCACCTCTAGTGTTCTGAGCTCGGCCACGATGCGATCGTATAGCGACTTTTCAACCTTGTTCTCGCCGAGGTCCGTATGTCCCTCGGCCATGAGTAATTTTGCTAAGAATTGTACCCTACCCTTCAGAAGCTCATTCTCCCGAGCCAACTCGTACGCGCTCCGAATCCCGTCTGTTAAATTGTCTTCCTCCCTACTCTCATCCTGTTGCATGAGCTCAGTGATCCTACAATTGAGTGATTGCTTCAGGCGAGAATTTTGATTCTGCAAATTGAGTATCTTTTCCGACTTTGCTTTTAGACGGAGTTGCAAGCAAGTGCAAAGGTCTTCACTCTCCTTATTCAAGGCGAAAGCAGACTGATATGCACACTTCAAACATGAAGCCGTTTTCTGCAGTTCCCTGAGCCGTGAGTCGTTCCGATTATCCCTCTTGGACTGGTCCCATTGGATGTCTTGAACTTCTCTTTCGGCTTTGAATTTCTCAGCGCGATATCTAGCAACCCGTTGCTCAGCCTCAGTCAACTTCCTTCTAGCGCCTTCGAGCTCCCCTTGTAACGCCTGTAGTTGTGTTGCTCGCGATGCACATTGTTGCCGTGCTGCTTCACCTTCCGCACTCATGCGGCGAGCCGTGCTGTCAAGCTCGCTGCACTTCTCTTCGAGCTTATCTATCTCTTGGGCCATATAGTTTTCACGTCTTCGTGCATCTTGAAGTTCTTGTTGGAGCACACTGATCGAGATCCCCTGATT